GTGTGTTTGAGGAAATGGTGTCAAACGCTCTGGAGGGGGAGTCGTGTTTGTGCATGTGTTTGTTTAGAGTCCTCCAGTCCTCCAGTACAATGTATATAGTACATCTGCAGCATCTTGTGGCTGTGAGAGGCACTGCCTCGCTGCTCAGTGTGACCTGCTAGACTCTGAGGAGTTCATGCCTTAAAATAAATGAAGTATGTTTATTTCAAAGTTCCCTCCAGTCAAAAATAAGGGTTTATTCTTGTGCCTGAAGTATGATGCTTGATTTTCACTTTGCATAATGATAGATGCAGAGTGGAAATTAAACTTTTTTGAGGAAAAAATATATCAGACATACATTATTATTCCAAGCAGACTATTTGTAAATGTGACAAAATTAATTTCCTTTAACTACAATATACATTTATGACTTTATTACATGTTTATTATTATTGTTGCTCCCTGAAATCTGACATAATTGAAAACAAATAGTAGGCTATGTGATTTCACTGTAGATTTGACATTCCATGTTGTCTTCCAAGTGTGAACATATAGGCAATTTTTTCTGATAAAGACAGCAAAAACATTGGTTAACATAGGTGTTTTTCCATAAATAAGTTTGCTTTGTGTAAATTAAGCTAGACTTTTTATTTTCTTTCCTAAGAACTAGTGGCCCAGATTTCAGCACGAGCTGTCCCCAGGGGTGTGTCCAGACTTTTTTGACGGAGGTGGCACAAGTGAGTTATGCAGGGGTGGCATCAAGTGTGTGTCTCAGCTTTCTAGTCTTTCCCAATTTGTTTATGGGCCTCAGTATGCAGAAATATAATGCAAAAAAAGTATGTTTTTTATACAAAAACTGCATAGGTTAGCGTAAAGTGGGCATGTCTGCAAAGGGGAGACAGAGCCCATTTACAAGAGGCAAGGATAATGGGTTGGCACTTGGGGTGGCAGATTTCAGAGGTAGCCAGTGCCTTCTTAGTCTCCCCCCCGCCTCTGGAAACACTACTGGCTGTCCCACATAAAAACTCCACAAATTCTGACACAATTTGGCACAAGGAACGCTAATATATGTGCCAATATGTGAAAACTGTCTTAATAAGGAAACATCTTAGGGATTTCATAATGATATTAGTTGTTGATCTAATGTAATGTTCCCAACCTTTTTCCTGACAGGATCCCTTTTCTATCACTGAGTAAACTGATTAAGTGACATATTTTATGGATATTTCATATTATATTCAATGTATAACAATAACAGTGATACAGTGATCATGCCACAAGGACAGTTTCTTCCCATCTGCAGCCTTCATCAACAAGGCCTGGGACCCACCCCACACCATCCTCTGCACCAATGGTTCCCAACTTGGGGGTTTGCCCCCCCCACTAGGGGTCACCAAAAATCAGGGGGGTTGCACGGCCTTCTTGACTTTAAGAGGTGTAAGAAAATTTTAAAATATATACAGTAGGCCTATATGTCATCTTCCAAGTATGCTGTTATAACAACCAAAGAGCTAACGGAACAAGCGTTTTGTTTTATTTATTTTGGGTGGGGGGTACATTACATTAGTTAAACTACCTGGTCTGTGCACTTACATGGTGTTGTAAATGTTGGTTGGTTTATTTGTTTGTAAGTACAATGTTTGTTTTTTATTGCTGACATCCAAAAAGAGGCATGATATCTTGTATTGTATAACGTGTATTGTTGATGTGCGTATGCTTCACAATAAAAAATATCAGGAAATCTCATCTCTGATCAATATTCACAGGACATAATCTGCTCAAAATGCATCCAAAATATCCATAAAATATGTTATTTAGTCAGGGGTTGGCAGTTTAGTCAATGATAGAAAATAGATAGGAAAAAGGTTGGGAATCACTGCTCTACTAAAGTTATATTGTAAATATTCTTGATACTGCTTTCTTTTGCACATTCCCTGGACAGTATTTTGCACATTCCTGCACAAACAGCTTTCATCTAAATTAATGGTCATATTGTATTTTGTTGTCTTAATAGCATTTTTCATATGTTATTTTGTTATATGTTCATTTGTTTCGTTACAGTTAGTCAAAGTGCTCACAGACATTAAAGAAGAAATAGAAATAGAAATGATAAGAAAGTTAAAATGGGTCTGACAAGTTAAATATATAGAAGATATAAATATATGTATGCTACATTATATGACAGCAGTGTAATGGATTAAGAATAAATAGTAATAATAGCTGAATCCTTAGATTAGAAGAAACACTTCTAAGACACAGAACAAACCAGAGTATGTTTTCTATTGATGCTTGTTGAATTGTACTACTTTTCCTGTCTTTATTGTTATGCACTAACACATACATACATACCAAGGCTTGTCCTCCTGTATGAAAACCTATTAATAAACCAGATTCTAACTTTTTGGGGAAATGGATGTAAGAGATTGGCCCTGCACTATGACGGAGTATTAGGGCCATACTAAGAGGAAAAATAAATAAATAAATAAATACAATTTTGGAAATTACGATAATAAAGTCGTAACATTACAAGAATAAAGTCATAATATTACCAGAATAAAGTCGTAATAATAAGAGAATAAAGTCGTAATATTACGAGCAAAAGAGTCATAATATTACGAGAATAAAATCATAATAATATGAGAATAATGTACAAAAGAAGCAATTTCCGTGTGGTTCCTTCTTCGAAATAGACACAGTCGTTTGCACAATCGTTTCAAAGTCCTGATGCTGATAATAATTTGATGCTCATGAGCCAAAAGATTAAGTAGACTATTTCCTTATTTGTGTAACCGAATCCAAAGTATAACTTCACAAGATGCTCAACATTCCTCATTTTAACGCAGGGGGAACTTACTACTTTATTCTTGTACTGTTAGGACTTTATTTAATGTTAGGACTTTATTCTCGTACTGTTAGGACTTTATTCTCGTACTGTTAGGACTTTATTTAATGTTAGGACTTTATTCTCGTACTGTTAGGACTTTATTCTCGTACTGTTAGGACTTTATTTAATGTTAGGACTTTATTCTCGTACTGTTAGGACTTTATTCTCGTACTGTTAGGACTTTATTTAATGTTAGGACTTTATTCTCGTACTGTTAGGACTTTATTCTCGTAATGTTAGGACTTTATTCTCGTACTGTTAGGACTTTATTTAATGTTAGGACTTTATTCTTGTAATGTTAGGACTTTATTCTCGTACTGTTAGGACTTTATTCTCGTAATGTTAGGACTTTATTCTCGTACTGTTAGGACTTTATTCTCGTACTGTTAGGACTTTATTCTCGTAATGTTAGGACTTTATTCTCGTACTGTTAGGACTTTATTCTCGTTCTGTTAGGACTTTATTTAATGTTAGGACTTTATTCTCGTACTGTTAGGACTTTATTTAATGTTAGGACTTTATTCTCGTACTGTTAGGACTTTATTCTCGTACTGTTAGGACTTTATTTAATGTTAGGACTTTATTCTTGTAATGTTAGGACTTTATTCTCGTACTGTTAGGACTTTATTCTCGTAATGTTAGGACTTTATTCTCGTACTGTTAGGACTTTATTCTCGTTCTGTTAGGACTTTATTCTCGTACTGTTAGGACTTTATTCTCGTTCTGTTAGGACTTTATTTAATGTTAGGACTTTATTCTCGTAATGTTAGGACTTTATTCTCGTAATGTTAGGACTTTATTCTCGTACTGTTAGGACTTTATTCTCGTTCTGTTAGGACTTTATTTAATGTTAGGACTTTATTCTCGTACTGTTAGGACTTTATTCTCGTACTGTTAGGACTTTATTCTCGTTCTGTTAGGACTTTATTTAATGTTAGGACTTTATTCTCGTACTGTTAGGACTTTATTCTCGTACTGTTAGGACTTTATTTAATGTTAGGACTTTATTCTTGTAATGTTAGGACTTTATTCTCGTACTGTTAGGACTTTATTCTCGTACTGTTAGGACTTTATTTAATGTTAGGACTTTATTCTTGTAATGTTAGGACTTTATTCTCGTACTGTTAGGACTTTATTCTCGTAATGTTAGGACTTTATTCTCGTACTGTTAGGACTTTATTCTCGTACTGTTAGGACTTTATTCTCGTAATGTTAGGACTTTATTCTCGTTCTGTTAGGACTTTATTTAATGTTAGGACTTTATTCTTGTAATGTTAGGACTTTATTCTCGTACTGTTAGGACTTTATTTAATGTTAGGACTTTATTCTCGTACTGTTAGGACTTTATTTAATGTTAGGACTTTATTCTTGTAATGTTAGGACTTTATTCTCGTACTGTTAGGACTTTATTCTCGTAATGTTAGGACTTTATTCTCGTAATGTTAGGACTTTATTTAATGTTAGGACTTTATTCTCGTACTGTTAGGACTTTATTTAATGTTAGGACTTTATTCTCGTAATGTTAAGACTTTATTCTCGTACTGTTAGGACTTTATTTAATGTTAGGACTTTATTCTTGTAATGTTAGGACTTTATTCTCGTAATGTTAGGACTTTATTTAATGTTAGGACTTTATTCTCGTACTGTTAGGACTTTATTCTCGTAATGTTAGGACTTTATTCTCGTAATGTTAGGACTTTATTTAATGTTAGGACTTTATTCTCGTACTGTTAGGACTTTATTCTCGTAATGTTAGGACTTTATTCTTGTAATGTTAGGACTTTATTCTCGTAATGTTTGGACTTTATTCTCGTACTGTTAGGACTTTATTCTCGTACTGTTAGGACTTTATTCTCGTAATGTTTGGACTTTATTCTCGTAATGTTAGGACTTTATTCTCGTAATGTTTGGACTTTATTCCCGTAATTCCCCCCCAAAAAAATTCTCTGGCCCTAACACTCGTCGTACTCCACTGACTGCCAAGTTTTATCAATGATTTAAGAGGAAGGGTTCAAACACACAAAACCCTGCATTATTGCAGTATTAGTGTTTACATGTATATGCAACGGGTAGGCACAGGGGGGGAGTGGGGGAGTGGGGGGGACGGGGACGGGGACGGGGGGGACGGCTCCTCCAGTTGGTTCACTACTCCCCCGTTCAGTCCCCACCAACAGCTCCACAGACGGCATCCTCCTCAAACTGCTAGCAGCACAACCACCATGCAAATACACACAAAGCAGCTGATGTTTGGGATTGTTTAGAGCAATTTCGGAAAGATGCGAGTCTCCCCAGAGCTGTGAAAAGGTGTGAGTGAGGAAAACACGGAGGAAAACACGGAGGAAAACACACGACGACCGATCGGATCCGACTGTTAATCCCGCTGGGTGAGTGGACTGCGCTGCCCAGCTAGTTGGCTAACATTAGCAGCTACTGCACATTCGGTGTCTTCCAGCGACTTTTGTCTCAGGTGCTGGGATGCTATAATGAATTTAATGTGTACGGTAAGCTCTTAAATCTCCCGGTGAATATCTAAGGTAGAACACTCTAGCCACCGCTAACGTCTGACAGCGTTGTCCGTTTGTCGCAGCTGGTGTTCGGTTGGTTGTAGCAGGCTAGCTTGTTAGCCGTGTCGCATAGCTAGCTAGCCAAGCTATCCCCGCTAGCTTGCACTTTACGTTAGAGCCGTGTGTAATAAGATCACTAACGTTAGTGACAAACGCAAGCTCGTTGTCGTTTAGTGAGATTTTATTTAGACTTGAATAGGGATGAGTAGCTAGTTGGATTCATTATCTACACGGTTAACGTTAGCTCTTCCCACGGAGCCAATGGAAGTTACCCTGGATGAACAAGCCACATTCAGTTTAAATAGTGGGAGTTATTGATGCTTTGGTTTACAACAGAGATACTTACCTGATACTAAATGATGTGACATTCACCTAAATGATCAGGGTGTTGTGGGGAATTCAGCATTTAGCTGGTTAATACACAAAGCAATGCTTTTATTCAGTACATTGTTTTAGACCTGGTTCATGCTGCTCTTTGTATTCAAGTGACAGTAATCATAGTAGTAGCTTATACCCGTTGTAAAAGTAGTGTTTTAAATTCCCATACCAGTGTATTTGACTGCTACTAAGGAAAAGGGCTTTAAACAAACAGATTTTAGATTGAGTTTGTTCTTCTGTGAATCTAACATTTGTGCGTTAGCTTACCAATCAGAAATGTACACTCATATTCTCTGCTTTCACTAGGCAAGGCAAACATATTAATAATGTGCCATATAAGTATTTTTATATATAACTAAGGCAACCCAAAGACAAAAATAGGCACAGTTTCAGTTTCAATACCTTGTAAATGACCAAAAACTGATGAAATGGAAAATAGCATTTTAAATCACCGGTACCTGTTTAACAATGTATGCCAAACAAATCAATTTATTTGTATTCTTCTATCAAAATCCAGTCATTGTTCTTGTAAAACAGAATGGAAGGTGTGCTTACATAAGTGTGAATCAACATATTTCAACCAATAATATCATGACATAGATATATTCCTGTAACACAACACTGCACGGTCTGCCATCTTTACCACATGCAGCACTTCCTCTCACACTGTGAGTGGGTATACAGTACATCCATTTCTTTTTATAGGACTGGCACACCTTATCGCTTAGCCGGGAAACGTTTGGTATATTTTTAGCCAAATATTGAATATCTATATCCTGAACATAAGACTTTGATGGGTGCAAGAGCTCCCTGAGAGATTCAAGTCTGCTTCTCTGTTGTGAGGATGTACTGCTTTTCTTTGTCACATGTGAGCGTAAAATGAATATTTTGTGGATTTTTAAGATGTCCCTTTTGGGTTTAGAAAGCATGATTGGCATTTTTCAGAAATGTCTGATATTAAATTAAAAGGGTCCACACACTGTAGCTCCTTAAGTACAAATTATTAATAGATCCCCACGTAACCCTTTTTCATGTCTTCTATTGATCCAGCACCTGCCATAAACAGTGTTTGAGTGTGAAACTACAAGGGCTGTCACCAAATCCCATTATATAATCAAATTGAAAAAAATGCGCTTGAACAAGTGTGTGTTTTAATGTATAATGGGTAATTAGCCACTGTTATGAAGAATATAACCACTGATGCGCCCGGGGCCACATTGAAGGACTGCCCACTCAACTGACATCCTGTAAGTCCACAGAAACACTCTATTTAGTTCACTGTAATGCAGATTACGTGCTTGGGCTCTTTTACCTGCCGACATCAGCAGCAGATGTTGGTGAACTTGTCTGTTTTAACTGATTGGACCAGTGAACTAGTCACTGCAGTATCCCCAGACTCCGTTAAGAAATGGCATTTTGTGAGTTAATGGGTGAGGGGAAACTTTATAAGCTTTGTGAAACTCCCACTACAACAGATTGTAAACTATTCGGGCCTTCTTGTAAATTCAGGACACGTTACATATTAAGTTATTTCTTACTTAGTTATTTCCCAGCGTGTTGGCTAGCTGGCGGTCCGACCTCCTCTACTGCCGTCCACTGTGAGTGACTGTTGGACTGACAGCCTCTCAGCAGCCCAGCGGCAGGAGGGGCACATTTGCTTTCTCTGGCATTAATGTCCTTTTTCATCATCTTCCACACAATGGAAAAAGCAAAACTGTGTCCTGCTTATAAAGTTCAGTTTTTTTTTCAGTGTCTTTGCTCTAGGGCTGCTGACAGCGTAGGGAAAGCGGCGGGCTAGGGTGTCGCTGAAAACAAAGGACAGTAATAATGGACATTGACTGACAACATTTTTAGTAGGGTATTGCCCAATAAAAGGGTTTGTTGGCATACAGAGCCGGGACGCATTCTAATGTAAGCTGACATTCTTAAAGCTGTCCACTTGTGATCGGATCACCCAAGATGCATTCTAATACCAAGTGTAAACAGACTGGAAAGAAATTCTTTAACCTGAGAAATGAAACACAATACAATACAATGATATAGTGAATATAAACACAGCAAGTAATGGAACTAATCATGGTCATTTAATGTTACCTGACGCACAAATCCTGGCTGGAATAAGTTGGTGTTGTGTGGCTAAATACGATCCACTCTGTTTCCCATTTACAGAGACAGGGCTGTGCACAAACATTAGATGTTTATTCTGCACACAGAGTTGAAAGCTAGCAGACCGTGAGGAGACATTTACAGAATTTGACCAAATGTGTGTTAGACAAAAATCACATTACCTAGAATCACTTACCCCACTTTCGTATTACTTTCGGTAATGAATGGGAATAGGCCACTGATGTGCATGTGAATCCACATTGAGCTGTAGGCCTAGATGGCTCTGTGAGTTGTCTGGATATAGACGTACTATCAGATCATTGGTCTGCAGCCTCCTGGGGTCAGTCTTATTCTTAGACAGACACCAATATTGAGTCAGTTGGCCTTTTCTACTGAGTTTTATGTCCCCTCTTTGTGGCACGGCTCAGAACAGAAGACTGTGGTAGTCAAGGAGATGCTATGCAGGAGGCCACTGTTGTACAGGCAGCTTCTAGAGGGTTTCCTGCTTTGTTTAAATCCCGTCTTATTAATATGCAGTCAGTGAGTCACATTTGCAAGGTCTTCCCTGAATCAGACAGAGGCTAAAGTGTTTGAACCCTCCAGAACCTATACACACTTAGTTGTTTCAGTTGAGACAAAGAAAGTCAACAAAATCCTCACAGAATTGAGAAGCTGGAACGACATAGTATCAACGTTTCTATGTCTGTGTGGGTGTTGAGGTATGTTGTTTTAGTTTGTGGGGTGCGGTCATGAAGTTTATTAATGTGATGTAATGCAAAGGGAATGCTCACCGGTTACACAGGGGCTGGCACGATACTGTGAGAAAGTTGAGATTGATTTGTTTTAGTTAAGTTGAGATGAACTGCAACCACAGCTCAGTGAATTTAATGTTTCTCGTCTGTTTATTAAAACATTAAGACAAGGATTTCACTCACCCAATAACCGGCTATTGTCGGTATATTGGTGATAACTCCAAGAGCTTCAGTACATGTAACAAGCTCTTTTAGCGTTAATCAAAATTGGCACATAAAATCAAAATAAATAATAATAACTCTCCTCACCCACGCAAATCACCACACACATTTGCAAATCTCTGCCACGGTAGAAGTGTAGCATAGGTCACATGCAAGATGAGCCAATTGAAACTCGTATACCATATAACACATTTACATAAAATAACTAACATTATTGTAACGACATAACAACAGAGCAGTATGTGCAGCAGAGGGAAATGCAGGTTTTATATCGCCTCGTTTCAGGTAAACTGACCTGGTAATCTTGCAAATCGCGTCCCTCTCCCACTTCCTCACCCCACTTTCCAGGAGGTTCATCTGTTATGGTGCTTTTTGTTGCAGGACTCTACAAACATGCCTGAGGTTCGGGAGCTGTCTGAAGCTTTGCCAGAGATGCCCATGGACCCAATCACTGGAGTCGGAGTGGTAGCCTCCAGAAACAGGGCACCCACTGGATATGATGTGGTAAGTCAGACACCCTCTCCACATTCAAGAGTAGGCTTAAGACGTTCCTCTTTGATAAAGCTTATAGTTAGGGCTGGATCAGGTGAGTCCTGAACCATCCCTTAGTCATGCTGCTATAGGCCTAGACTATCAGGGGATTTCCCATGATGCACTGAGCTCCTCTCTTCCTCTCTCTCTCTTTCTGCACTCATTCATGTTCCATTAATGCATGTTACTAACTTCACTTCTTCCCCGGAGTTCTTGTGCTTTCTCGTCTCGCAGGTTCTCATGGATCCTCCTGCCATGGTCCTGCTTGACTGCCATTGCTAATATTACTGATATTATTGTTATTAATATTACTATTATTATTATTACTACAGTTACTATTATTACTATAATCACTGCTCATTGTCGCCCATCGTTGATGTTGTTGTTGTCATCATCTTCTTCATGTTCATCATCATCAGTCACTACTATTAGTGTAGTTGTTGCTACTGTTGTTGCTGTGCGTCTGTCTGTCTGTCTCTCTCTCTCTCTCTCTCTCTCTCTCTCTCTCTCTCTCATATCCCAACTGGTCGAGACAGACAACCACCCACCTAGAGCCGAAGGGTCTGTCCTAGGTTTCTGCCTTTTAACAGGCAGTTTTTCCTTGCCCTTGTCGCCAAGGTCTTGCTCATGGTGGTACTGTTGGGTCTCTGTAAATAATGTTTTAAAGAGTTCAGTCTAGACCTGCTCTATTTGAAAAGTGTCCTGAGATAATTTCTGTTATGAATTGGCGCTTTACAAATTGAATTGAATTGAATTGAAAAGTCTCAGGACAGATAGACAGCTGAACCAATGTACCAATATTATTAAATGATCAACTTATATTTTATACAGCCAAAATCATTCTAATTGATAACAAAAATTTGACATTTTGATGTGCATTGCCACTCAAAAAATGTAGGGTCACTTGTTAGATTGATGTTTTACAGTACCAAATGTATTATTTGCATTTGAAATAGTTTTTGTCGTAAAAGAAGAATAATTTAATCATTGAAACGTCAATTTAGTCAGTGTCCCTTCAGTACTACATGATTTTCCCCCAATTACCTGATCAATCAGTCCATAGTATGTTCAGCTGATGTTCAATAGTGCTAACCCTACGCCAAACCTCTGTTTCTATGCGGAGGTTTTAAGAATAGCATTGAAAAAGCAACATGCCTGTTACTTCCAGCATGTTAGATGCATCACTGTGACACTGAAACGAAAACCTGTTACTGTTACACAGATTTTGATGATTTTTGACTGCTGATTTCTTGTATTCTCATTTAACTTTTGGTCAGTGGGATCTGAGAGTCTGGTTGGAACATTGTACATTGTTTTTCGCAACCACGGTAGTTTCTTAGACACACTTCACAGCCCGTTCTCTAACCTGTACATACACATATTAATTAATTAATTTATAATTTTGTACAGAATTGTTGTCACAGCTGGTTGTGTGGGTAAAGTTGTGACAGTTTCAAAGAAAGACAAGAGAAGATAAGAGGGAGTTGCTCTGGGTATCTTGTAAGAGGATTTCAGTATGTGCATGCTGTAACCTGAGGATTTGACTGAAACTGAAAGCAGCAGCTGCTGCTTGGTTCACTGCTAAAGGAGAACTGTACTGACACCAGAATCACTTTCCCTATAATCTTTACAGCTGCAGTGAATGTCTTTTAATTATTAATATATAGCACCATTATTTCTGTTATGTTACTGTTGTCAGGTGTCAGGCATTGAGAGCCTGTTAAAGTCAGATGTTAAGTTGACAAAAAGGGCCAGAAACACCCAGATATTGTAATTGTGGTCTCAGTTTGATGACTTATCTGTGTCTAGGTCTCTACAACAACAGATGGCCTGGATGCTGACCTGTGGAAAGACGGCCTTTTCAAATCCAAGGTGACCCGTTACCTGTGCTTCACCAGGGTCTTCTCTAAAGAAAATGTAAGTTAACTCAATGCATGTTGCAATCTTGTGTAATCATATAGCATTTATAGCATGTTTTTTTCCCACCGATGGTATATTTTGACTCCCAATATTCACCCCCCTCTCCCCTGTCCGCCATCCCTTTCTCCACAGAGCCATTTAGGCAATGTTCTTGTGGACATGAAGCTGATTGATATAAAGGACACTCTGCCTGTGGGTTTCATTCCCATCCAGGAGACTGTTGACACACGTAAGTTATCAAGTCAAGTAGCAAGGCACAGATAGCATCACCGTGTCCTAAATTCAAATGAAATCTTTCCATCTTTAAAAATGTTGAACAGCTGTGTAAATCCTCTCTGTAATGTATGCAGTGGAGTGACTCCCAGTCTGTCTGTCTGTGTGTCCCACAGAGGAGCAGGCCTTCAGAAAAAGGCGACTCTGCATCAAGTTTATTCCGCGGGACTCCACAGAGGCAGCCATCTGTGACATTCGCATCCTGGGACGCTCCAAGCAGGCTCCCCCCCAGTACACCTTTATAGGGTGAGCAGTGCGTGTGGATCACATGACAGGACGTTAGTTTTGGTGGTAGACTTGACAAATAGTTGTCCGATCTAAGCATCGTTACTCAGACAATGGCAGGAATAAGCCGGAACTGACTTAGCATTTTAGCAAGTGTGGTTCCCTTGTGTCAAAATCAATGGGTTTTTGGTTAGATGGCTGAAATTGGCATCTCTTTCTGCTTATCAATGCTTATGAACCTGTTTCACAGAGAACTCAACAACATGGGAATCTGGTATCGCATGGGGAACGTACCTCGGGCCCAGGACTCCACACACACTCCGACCACCAACAACATCCAGAATGTGAACTCCTCTTCCAGCTCAGCCCCTGTCCCAGCAGCTCCTATGCCCAAGTATGTCTGTGTGTCTGATTTACCCTCACTTATCCAACTAGCTCTCATGTATCCTGCATTTACTCACATGGCTAACACTCTTTGCTTAGTCCTGAATCAAGGAAAGAGGATGTCCACTGTCCTTGAACATCCTTACGTTAGGGGAAGGGAAACAGATCTATCTTTAAATGACAGTGGAGTAGGAAAAGGTGACGCTTTCAGCCGGAAAACAAAGAAAAGCATTGTCTGATTGCTTCCTTGCTGACAAAAAGAAAGGAGGAAAGTTGAACTGCAAACATACATTGTTTTCTGGGAACTGCCCACTGACACTTTGAATACCTGTTTTGAGTGGTGATAATATCCTGCATTTGATCAGGGCATTAGAGTTGAAGGTTGAATCCTTCCTGTGTTCTGAACATAAGACAGTGACACTGCCTGCTCTCTCCCACTCCCCTGGACGATGATATGAAATACTAGTGATGTCGATCAATAGAGTTGGATGATCATTTTTTATTATCCTATCATTATAATTGTGGCTACTTCAGATTGCCAATATGCACTCCGATCACGAGTGGGAGAGTTACATCAGCACAACAATGAAATGCTCAGATCATTGAGTCAAGAAATGTACCAGTACTCTCACTAATGGTGAAAACTATAAACCAGCACAAAATTAGCAACATAAACCACCATATTTTGAACAGACACCTTACAAACTACAAAAACAAAATATAACATAGTACATGAAAAAGTAGGGCCAGGCATGAAGGGAAAAGTGGCCTGTCGCTAGGCAAGAGTCTGTGGGATTACAAAGCAGGGCTGGCTCTGTCCAGACAACAGCACACTGTGAATAAATATATCTATTCAGTTCCTTGTTATTGGGCATCAACCTCATGTTTAAAAAAAATTATTTGAAGCAGAAATAACCACTTCTGGTCGTGCATGCCCCGTCAGACACAGCCGAGAAACGAGCCCGCACGGAGCCAGTACAGACAACATTAAAATGAGAGTTTGTCTGTGCCTGGTGAGACTGTATCACAGAATCCTGTTCCGTTGAACATTATATTTCTGATATTAAGGCTGCACTGTGTGTACTATTTACTTCTGACTACAAATAGTTAGAAATGAGAACATTTAGAGTTCCAAGCTTCACAGAGACCACTGCTGGTCAGTTACCTACTCACTAAGATGTCTATGAAACACAATCACATCATTTAACAACAAAATATAGCTATCCTTACTTGCCAGGCTGCTTATATGTTTGCTAATAACTTATTTAAAGAGTTTGGTCTCTGACACCGGCAGCATTGTTGTTTGTTGTTTAAAGCATATGGCAGTCCATTGGTGTGTGGTTCAGAGAGAGAGCGGATGCATAGATTCAGTGGTTTGTCTTCATTGAACTAATCATATTTCTTTCTTTTTGTCCCAAGACATATTTCTATGACTCTTCCGGCCAGCTTCAGAGGGAAGAACACTACCAGGCCAGACTATGAACACCAGAACTCCAATCTGTATGCTATCTCAGGTCGGCAACACTTTGGGACTTTCCTCTAACCCTTTCCACAAAATCAAAGACATGTCTTTTTGAAATGTGCCAATCAAACTCATGCCACACATGGTGTTGTTGGTGTGTGTAAATTGTACTTTAAATGCTACAAGTTCCTGTTGGCTTCAATGTGGCTTCAGAATTTAACTGTTCCACACTTCGTGACCAAATACCTGCAAAACTAATGGTGTTCCCATCAGCCTCAGCTGTATTAGCAAATGTTTGCATGCCAACAGATATATTACAGGTATATTATTACCTGTGGAAATCAGCATGTTAGCGTCAGCATTTAGCTCAAAGCAGCCTCACAACAACAGCTAGTGCAGCCGTGTTTTTCCTGACACAGATTATTCTACTTTTTGACACTTGGATATTTATAGTCTTTCTCATCAGAACTCATAAAATAAAATGATAATATTATAAAAAGGGTCAGCAGGTTCAGGAAATGATCTCCATTGTAGCATGACCGGTCTGAGTCGAGCTCACCAGGATTCTGTTTAAAGGCCTGGTTCAACAGAGCGCTTTGGTTTCTCACTGCTGGTCCCCTTCTGCTCTGTTTCTCCTGCACTACTGTCTTTGTGAGAACTCACTAGAGTCTTAGAGCTTCACAGTGAGGACATTTTTGGAAAGTGAGGTCTTTGTGGTCACTGCTCATGTCTTCAGAGGGCTGTTAAGGTTATTGAGTTAGGATAAGGTTCCAGTTGGGGAAAATTGGTGTTAAGCATATGGTGGCGGACACAAGGTTGTGGTTAAGTTTTGTGTTTTTGTCGGTGTGAAAAATATAGTCTAAAATCCAGTAAAATCCTACATATGATTTTGACAGAGATTATAAATGGATTGTGTTAATGAAGTTAGTATTACTAAAGTTGCAGTTATATTATTAAGTTTGTGTTGGCCAGGCTGCAGACGTTTGTCAAATTACATTGTCATACTTCACTCAGCTGTTTCAGGGCGATATGACTGGCTGAGAGTGTGTTTATTTAACCAGAACACCCTCCGATCTGTAATTCACTTCAGCCAGCCCTTTTTAGAATCTGTGCTACTCACATGAACCAACATGGCAGGTGGAGATGCTCACACAACCCAAAAACTACCACTCTGCTCCACTCGTTGTGCGTGCAGAATTAATAGACCCTTTAGTGTGTGTTTTGTAACTTTGTGAATAAATGTTTTTTCTACAGACAGATACATGCATGTATCATTTATTTGAACTGTCCATTTGAACTTTCAGCAATGGATGGAGTGCCTTTCATGATCTCTGAGAAGTTTGCCTGTGCCTCGTCTGATGTAAGTAGTCTGAGTTGAGTCATTGACAGGTTGACCTGATAGTTGGTCACAGGTTTTATCGATATAAAAGCTCAACGCATTTGAAATATGTAGTAATATTCTTCTTCTTCTATACAAGTAACTAATGGTTTCTGCTCTCCATGTTCAGCTGCAGCAGGTGGATCTGATGGGCATTACAATCAAGTCACTGGCTGAGATTGAGAAAGAGGTTAGTAGACAAATGTAATCAAGTTTCTGCTAATGTTTAAGGAGAATTACTGTTAATTACAAATTAATTCTTATCTTTATGGCTTTGTCTATCTTTTCTGTCACTTATGATAACATGGTACCAACCAAGTAATGTGAACCTATCATGCCATCACCCATTGGTGTGTGGAGTACCGTTTTGAAGTCTCAAGGTTGGCAATATGGTCGTCACCATGAAAGTTTGTCTGAGCCATCAGAGGTGACGCACTGCAAGTTGAGCTGCTCTCATTGGCTGCGCAGTTTCAACTCCTGGTCCCATACAGCAGTCGCCTGGTCACACATGATCTAGTATTCCAGATAAACAGTACACTAAAATATGTTTCTGAAACGACTTAGGAGAGAAACTGTTGACACAGTAACAGAATCTTGATTCATATTTGATCAGCACTGCCTAGTTTGACAGTTTGATCTGAGTTTGGTACGTTGAGCTGGACGGACTCACTGAGAATGACCTGTCAATCACAAGGTAGCCACGCCCTAAAGCATACCCTGCTTTCTTGTCCATTTTATTCTAAATGGGACCATCATTTACTAAATGAACATCATGCTGTATGGAAGAAGACTGAAACTAGAGACTGAGACCAGAAACTCATTAGGAAACTGTTTACTGAGCTCATAAATCAAGTCAGAAGTCAGCTATTTTCTCCATTAGACTCAGTTCTTAGAGTGCCGGTTTAAGACACTTCCGCATTGGCTTCACTTCCCAGACCCAGAAGCTTCGTCCACTAATCAGTGCATAGTACACACCAAGTTGGAGCTGAGATATGGGATTATGGCCTCAACTATAAAACAAAGTTGAACTAGTGTTAAAACACAAACAGTCAGACAATCAGACAGACAGGTTGTTAACAGACCAACAGTTCATCCAGATAATACGGCTGTAACTAATGATTACTTTCATTATCGAATAATCTGTCCGTCATTTTCTGGAGTAATCCATGAGGCGTTTTGTTCAGAAAATGATTTTAAAAAAGTCAGTGTTTCCAAAAAGTCCAAGCTAATGTCCTCAAATGTCTTGTTTTGTCCACAACCCAAAGATATTCAGTTTACTGTCATAGAGGACGAAAGAAAGCAGAACATATTCACATTGGAGAAGCTGAAATCTGAGAATTTGGACAGTTTTTCTTAAAAAATTCTCAAAACAATTAAACCGATTATTAAAATAGTTAGCAAATTATTAAATAGTTGCCAACTAATGGATTAATTGACTAATCATTGCATCTCTAGCAGATTATCTAAACCTCTTTATTTCAAGCTTAATATTACTGAGTGTGTCAAAATTGCACCAAATTTGAAAAATCAGGAAATCGATCAGATTGTCGAGAAAAGCAAAGAACACATACATACATACATACATACATACATACATACATACATACATACATACATACATACATACATACATACATACATACATACACATACATACATACATACATACATACATACATACATACATACATACATACATACATACATACATACATACATACATACAGAGAGCACTTGGTGACAATAAAAATGTCCATTTAAGTTGTCTTGCCAACATATCTTAAAGGTCACAAAACATTGGGCTTTATGTTCCGGAAATTTCAGCCACTGATGTTTTCAGACTTGAGTTAGAAGGACTTGAGCACATGCTTCCTGGAAATACTGGAAAACAGACAAATTTAGAGACTAGTTTTCCAGTCATGGAAACAACTGGAAACTGATTAAAATGACCCAAAATCCTGGAAATATTTTATGTTGTCCTGGAAATTCTTTATTGTATTTTACCCCATCACCCTGGGTGTGTGCATTCTGTTTGAAACTCAACTGTTGGTGGGATAAGCTGCATGAAAACCAACCGGTAAATGATATGACATGATGTGAGAAAAAATTATTCCTTAAAAAGAGTGGGAACCCTGTTGAGTTAGTTGTGGGTACTATTAACTCATGTATTGTTGTGTTTTGTAACATAAGAATTGACAGCATTTCTGAAGTAAATGAGTATATTTGTGCTACTACCACCTTATAAGGCCCATACTGAGTACAGACTATCAATTACTTGCTATCAATTAGAAATAATTAGGAGTTTTTTAAGGGAAAACTTAATAATGGTGTAGTAGTTGTAGTATATGCTCATGCAGAATAAGGCATTAATAGTTACCAGTCAATATGTGTACCTTTTAATATGAAATGTAAAACATCCAGTAACGTAAGTAAGATGATGAGATGTGGTGTCGTTGCCATTTACTGTGCAACCAGCAGAAATGTTCCTGTAATTCCACTCTGTTTCCACCAGAGTGTGCTCTTTATTGTAAAGCACAGATGTGTTTCAGTGCAGAATGGGATGCTTTCTATGGGATCATATTATAAAGTACTGATGTCAGACTCTCCCTCTGTCAGTATGATTACAGTTTCCGCACGGAGCACAGCGCAGCAGCTCGCCTCCCCCCGAGTCCAACACGGACCTCCCTGAGCTCCGAGGCCTGAGGACCCCCCTTCTAACTCCTCTCTAACAACACTCTCAAGACCTGTACACAACTACTGAGGACCTCCCCACAACAAACAGTCCCAAACACCTGTACTGAAAAAAAAGATTCTGTGGGTCTGGCTGAAACCACTATGTACAACATTGACAAGCTGGATTTAGAAATGAGACAAACTTGCTCAAGGAAGTGGAATGGAATCACTTCTTCTCTCAAAAGAATCGTGAAGTGTTGTTCCCTGTGATACAAATAACCACACTCCATCTACATGACTTGTTACAGACGAGATAAAAGGATTGAAAGGATTCTTTATCCTGATGGAGGGCACCTGTAAGGCCTTTGCTCTCTCAGGTGGAGTGAGAGCGAGAGCAGCCATCATATTTGCCTTCCACACCTGCTGCTCTACTGTTGGCCTGAATGGGATCCTCCAGTTCACGTGTTGGAAACACAAAAGGAAACTCCACATCATAGGATTTTGTTTTCAAGCTTGTACCAGTCTTCTCTGTGTTACTGTAATATACTGGTGTGACTGTGAGTGCACTTTGTGTTTTTGGAATTTCAGTGTGCTTCCTGTTTGTCACAGATATTGTGTTAACCACTTCTTTACTGTGTGTGTGTGTGTGTGTGTGTGTGTGTGTGTGTGTGTGAGAGTGTGTGAGAGTGTGTGAGAGTGTGTGAGAGTGTGTGAGAGTGTGTGAGAGTGTGTGTACCAGGCTTTGCTTTATAGAACCACTGTTTCTGTTCAAAAGTTACTAAACCATGACTCATGTTACACTGCTGGACTACACATACCACTGTTCTTATGATTTTTGTCAACCATAGTTAATGTAATGTCTGCTATGTTTTTTATCCAGCTATTCATTTTTCCATATAACGGATGATAGAACATCACATGAGCTTTGGTACCAGTACCAAACAATACCTTTTCACTGCCTTAGAATTGCTATGAATATAATCATTTTTCTAAACAAAAAAAAAAAACATTTTTCATGGAAAGAGGAACTTAAAGCTGCAGTAGGTAACTTATAAAAATACCTTCTTGTCATATTTGCTGAAATAACTATATCCTCTGATTGGTTGTTTTCGTTCAGGCCCGGTGGATTCTTGCAAATGTCATTAGGAGCACTAGGAGGAGCCAGAGGAAGCTGATTTTCTTCACAGATTATCTGTCTCATGTACTACTGTCAGGATATTGTGAAAGTTTCAGCAAATATAAGAAGAAAAAACCTGCTGCAGCTTTAAACGTACTCCAAGGTAATGAAACAGTCAATTTAATACTGATGCCTCTATACGACCGTAACAAACAACGTAAAAAGTACTCTCTTGGTTTTTCTGAAGGACATTTCTACTGGCTGTTAATGTGCAAAGCTATCTGAAACTTTACCAAGAAATTTTGATGTTAACTTAACATAGTTTTAATGTTGACTAAAAACTAGACTGGACTCGAAATTATTAAAAAAAACACAACACAAATACTCAGACAATAGCAAGAATATGTCCTGAACTGGATTAGAATTTTTTAATTATATATTAAATAAAACTGAATATTGTTTCAACAGTACATTTTACAACAGCAAAGTCCCTATAAATCAATATCTCACTGGAAACAAATCTGTCAGTAAAATAAAATATATTCCTGACATCAAACACAAACATCAGTCAGTGTCAGTCCTTCCTCCTGTCCTCTCAGTTTTGTGGCAAACTAACAAACACTGAGACTACACACGAACAGCTTTATTCTTTATTACATTACCAAGCTAACTAACAGCAAATGAAATGCTCTCAAGTTCTGATATAACATTGGTTGGAGGATCTATGCTAGCCTTTTTAGCAGCCGCCATTGTTGCTTTTGCCCCACACGTCACACACATCTAGCGTTAAACTGCGTCCATAACTCATGCCGTAACTGCCAGTACTTCCTCAAAGGACTGTGATTGGTCAGAACCACTGTTAGACACAAGCTCATAGCTTGAAAGCTGGCAAGATCGTGTTTCGCGTGATCTCTCAAATCCAGCGTCCTTGTGAGGTTAGTTACACTGGCTCCTACAACTCTACAATCTAAAGTTTACTGCCCATGTGGAGTATATACTACATACCTTGATATTAGAAGTAGAAACCTTCATGATCATAACATAAGTCTTTTGACAAAAAGTGTCTTACCAAATGTCAAAGTTTACCCCAAATGGGCAGTAGTTGCATAATTGTGGCCTCGTCTTATCCTGTAATCCCAATTATGAAATATTAATAAAAGCAATCTGACCTTTAATTTGAGCCATTAATCAGTCGCTCCAGGATTTCCTCCAGGGTTCTTTTGGGTTATGTATAGATCCTAAATGTCTGATTTCACAGCAGCTTTTCTTAAACAATTGTGATACACGTTGCAATGTTTGTAGGCATTTTTTTGCAATGAAATTGGGATAGAAAGTAAAAATGTCTTTGTTTTTGATTTTGTATATTTCATTAAAGATTGAAGAGGAGTTGTTCCAGAGAGAATAAAACCACACTGTTTAGAGGGTAAATGTGAGATGGGATGCATGGCCTGCATCTTCACAACTGAAAACAAAGAGTGTCTCAACGTTTGTTGCGGAAACACTACAAGATTGGTCAGTTTTGCAGAAATGTTACAGTAAAATGATAAATGATAAAATTGCAAGGTCGTGCACAAGTCACCGTTCAGTTTGCCTTAATTGTTGCGATTGCAACCCCCTGGAGGGACTGACTGGAGCCCTGTCAAGCTACTGACAATTAAACTCAACACTTCCTGCAGTTGTTTCAAATTAAAAGACTGCTCATTGCTCATAAGCATTTCATTGCAGTTAGCACTCCAGTGGGATGTCTGTGTATTCAGAGCGACTCTTCTCTTTACGTTAATACAGCATTCTCTTTTGACTTTGGTGAAGAACATTGAAACTGTATTATTTGTTTCATAACAGATGTTTTACTATATTTCTCTGCAATATTGTCAAGTCATAAATGCATGGATTCACTCCTTTTATTTTCTGTTTTATTTGTCTAATTTATTAGTCATTTCAGTATTGTGACCCTGTTGTCTTAAAGACTTGTGTGATGAGTGAACAGATCCATGTGAGGCTTTGTGTATTTGAGTGTATCAGACTGCTCTGTGATCAGCTATGTATAATTTCTCAGATGTGGCATTTACCTGCCCAGTTTTTGCTAAAACATTTAATAGCTAACTAATATGGTGTCTGCGTAACAACCCTGCTTTGATATGTCTGTTAGTTTGCATGCACGGTGACATGAGATGTCAGAGGTTTCAATAGACAGTTATTTTTGTAGGTTGTTGATCAAGTCACAGATTTTGTCTCATAAATAGATTTTATTCACTAAAGAATGAACAAAACCGCATCAGTTGAATTTGTATTATAAGGAAGTTTTATTAAACTATGAACTAAAGGCCTTGACCTTAAGTTGACTCTTATTTTGGTAGAAATGCTGATGTGACTCAACTTTGAGCCTGATCAGTGCTGCATTATTGAGGTGGATGAAGATATTTGAGAGTTTAACAAATTCAATTCAATTCATTTTTTTTCATAGTGCCAATTCATAACAGAATTTATCTCAGGACACTTTTCAAATAGAGCAGGTCTAGAACGAATAACAGTGAAAGCTAATAGAGTGATTCCTAATAATATTGCCTAAGGGAGCATATATAAAGTGAATAGAATTGGTCCAAGTACAGAACCTTGTGGAACTCCATGACTAACTGTAGTATTTATTAAAGATTCATCGTTAACATGTACAAACTGCGAACGATCTGATAAATATGACTTAAACCAGCTTAGTGCGGTTCCTTTAATACCAATTTGATGCTCAAGAAGAAAGAATATTATGGTCAATGGTGTCAAATGCAGCACTAAGATCTAATAATACAAGTACAGAGACAAGTCCATTGTCTGAAGTAATTAAAAGGTCATTATTAACTTTAACCAGTGCTGTCTCTGTGCTGTGATGAACTCTAAATCCTGACTGAAAATCCTCAAATAAACTATTGCTATGTAGAAAATGTCGCCAACTCTTTGGCGACTACTTTCTCCAGAATTTTAGAGAGGAAGAGGAGGTTAGAAATCTGTCTATAGTTGGCTAAAACCCCTGGGTCAAGACTTTTTAAGAAGGGGTTTAATTACAGCTACTTTAAAGGACTGTGGTACATATCCTGATAATAAAGAAAGATTAATCATATCCAGTAAAGAAGTGCTAATTAAGGGTACGACTTCTTTAAGCAGCCTAGTTGGGATCGGGTCTAACAGACAGGTTGATGGCTAAGATGTAGAAATTATTGAAGTTAGCTGATGAAGATTGATAGCAGACAGTCTAAACATATATATCTGATTTTACATTTGTTAAAATTCCTAAACTTGGAGAGCCAGTAATACCTGTTGATGGCAGTTGGTGATTAATTTTCTCTCTAATAGTAATAATTTTATTATAGAAGAAGCTCATGAAGTCATTGCTACTTAAGTTTATGGGGATATGTGGCTCAATAGAGCTGTGGCTCTCTGTCAGCCTGGCTACAGTGCTGAAGAGGAACCTAGGGTTATTCTTATTTTCTTCTATTAGTGCTGAGTAATAGGCTCCTCTGGCATTACGGAGGGCCTTTCTATAGGTTTTAAGATTATCTTGCCAATTTGAGCGATATTCTGATAATTTGGAAGAGCGCCATTTCCTTTCAGATTTCCTAGCTATTTGCTTTAACTGGCGGGTTTGGTGGTTGTACCACGGTGCTAGTCTCCTATGTTTTAATAATTTCCTTTTTATAGGAGCGATAGAGTCTAATGTTGATCGTAGTGAGCCTGCAGCAATATCGACAAGATTATCAATTTCAGAGGGACTAAAGTCGTTATAGGACTCTGTTAAATTCAGACATGGCATTGAATTAAACACTGAAGGAATCTCCTTAAATTTAGCTACAGCACTGTCAGATAGACATCTGCTGTAGGAAGTTTTGCCTAATGGCTTATAATCTAATAGTATGAATTCAAAAGTTCTTAAATAATGGTCAGATAGGAAAGGATTATGTGGGAAGACTATTAAATGTTCAATATCAATGCCATATGATAAAACAAGGTCAAGAGTGTGATTAAACAATGAGTTGGTTTATTTACACTCTGACAGAAGCCAATTGAGTCTATTAATGATATAAATGTGTTACTAAGGCTGTCATTATTAATATTACAATATTAAAATCACCTACAATAATTACTTTATCTGATTTAAGGACTAAACTTGATAAAAACTCGGAGAATTCGGATTTAAAAAAAACTAACGAGTATGGGCCAGGAGCCTGGTACACTATTACAGATAGTTTTTAGTGCAGTGTTTCAGAGGATGATGCACTGAAGGACTACACTCTGCTGTGAGATATGTTTATTAGATATTTAGCTAGATTTTGTTTTCATTCAATTTATTTCAGCAAATAAATTTGATACAGTGAACAGACAGTTCCTCTGAAACTACTTAGTAGGTGTCCTACATCAGGAATGAATGGACACACAGCAGCTAATCAGACTTGAATATTCAGCTAGACCATGATAAAGCACCATGTACTTACAGTCCAAACAGCATAATAAGAGATTTATTTACCTTAATAAGCATTGTTCTGACTTTAGATCTAGCACCCAAAAAGCACAGGTAACTGTTAATAAGTGCATAGCTAATTCAGATATAAAATCAGAGTACGGTCCAGGAGCGCGGTACACTATAACAAATAGAACTGGCTGCAGTGTTTTCCAGTTTGGGTGAGAAAGACTAAGAACAAGGCTTTCAAATGAATAATAATTTAGTTTAGGTTTAGGTTCCATTAAAACGCTCGAATCATATATAGCTGCTACTCCACCTCCTCGGCCAGTGCCTCGAGGAATGTGAGTATTAATATGACTGGGGGGGGTGGATTCATTTAGGCTAACATACTCCTCGTGGGACAACCAGGTCTCAGTAAGACAAAGTAAATCAATATCATAATCTGATATTAATTCATTCACTAAAACAGCTTTAGAGGACAGAGACCTGATATTTAACAGTCCACATTTCATTCTCTTATTTTGTGCTACTGAGGAGTTGGTTTTAATTTTTATTAGATTTTTATGTTTAATTCCTTGTTTTTATTTCTTTAAAGGGACATTGTGTAGTGTTTTTCATTCATAAAAGTGTCCTCATTGATGTAAAATTACCTCTGCCAATGATCTGACTTATCCTTCTAAGTGAAGAATTTCTTATCTGTATATACATTAGACGGGCAAGTCCATGGAGGCTTCCGTGTCGTTCCACCATTTTGTAAAACTCATCGCAGAGAGGGACATAAAGTACTAGCCTACCTGTCTAGTTAATCCCCACCCCTTTTTTCGTTCAGAGCCAGCGTCACGTGACTGAAACCAGCTATAATGGAGAAGGAGATCAGTGAGAGGCGCTTGTCACTGCCCCGGCACATTTGAAAGTCTGCACTGCACTTTAGTTAATAATGGAGGATCATACTTATGCCGAGCCACAGGAGAAGGAATCCTCGTCGCCAGAAAAGCCAAAAGGGAATTAAAAAGGCAACGTGGGGAATTCAAAAAACGAGGGTAAACATCGGGGTAGCTTTTCCCAGGTGGAAAGAGCTAATGAAGGAGAAAGACTTTCAAAGGGACGCTGAAGTTGCCTGCTTTCTCCTTGACAGGTAGGCTTCTTGGTACATAACAGCTACCGTAGTTGCAATACGCATTTGAAAACGCGAGGCACTAGAGAGCACTATTCGTTTGAATGCAAAATACAATTTCACCACTAGATGGGAGAAATTCCTACACAATGTCCCTTCAAATAATTTAGGTGGTCGGGGGACAGAAACAGTCTCTATGGGGTTTTGGGTGGGGGACTGTTCTAATGGAAGCACAGAGAAGTGTATAAGACAGCAGCTCTGCTTCCTGGTCCCAACTCTGGACTGTCAGGTTTTAGAAGTAAACTTAGTCATATTTCTAGATAAGAGATCTGCTCCATCCAAAGCGGGATAGATGCTGTCTCTCCTAATCAGACCAGGTTTTCCCCAGAAGGTCCGCCAGTTATCTATGAAGCCCAAATCTGAACACTTCTAACTTGGACAGTATAAGGATGTGTTCACATCTTTCTGCTGCTCACCTGACAAAGACATTAAACACGTGCTAACCAGTATGATTTTGTGATGTCACAACTAGTTTGGAAGCCAATCGTCATCTAATATACAACTCACGCAAGGGTGATGAGGAAACTTGAAGCCTCCAGCACCTATACATTGAGAGTCAGAGTAGCAGAGACAGAAGTAGCATGTGTGCTTTGAAACAGTTTTTATTCCATTCGCAAAAAACGGTTTGGTTTGTCCGTTCTGGGCTACTGTAGGAAGACAGCGGTTCAGCATTGCACAGTCCCCCTCTGTAGATAAGAACGTCTCATTCTAAGGTACCGAAAACACAATTATTCCTATATTCACGTTATTATACACTAATGAAACCATACCCATGAATATTACATTCCATTTCTGCCAATAGATCCTCCTAAATGTTACACACTGGACCTTTAAAGGCTATATATATGAGATTTAAAACACTGATATAGCTGTAAACAACTATTTGCAATGTAAATATATTGTAATATGTAATGGTTTGATTGAAACCAATAATGATTTTCCTTCCTGATACTTTTTTGCCAGTATGGATGAGAAATAGGTCTTAAAAATTGTAAACAGTAAATGGACCTGTACTTGTATAGCACCTTTCTAGTCTTCCGACCACTCAAAGCGCTTTTACACTACATGTCACATTCACTCTCTCACACACAAAGCCCATCAAGCAGAAATTAACTCATTGATTCACATTCACACACCGATGCTCAGCACAGGGAGCATTTTGGGGTTCAGTATCTTGCTCAACGACACCACCCATGTGGCAGGAGGAGCCGGGGATCGAACCAACAATCTTCCAATTAGTGGACAATCTGCTCTTCCAGAATCAGAATCAGAATCAGAGTTATGTTTATTGCCAAGTAGGTTTTTACACCTGCGAGGAATGTGTCCTGGTGCAATTGGTGAAAAAAAAAAAAATACAAATACAAATATACAAATCACACAAAAATCACACAGAAAAATTAAGTACTTAAGAGATAAGAAAGATAAGAAAGGAAAACTGTGCAGAAGACGGGAGTGCATTAATGTAATGCATACTGTATATACAGGGTGAGTATAAGAGTCAGTTACAGTGGGGGGTACCGGGCCTTTGATAATGAGGCCAGCTGCAGATGAGAAGATGTTCAGCTCCCACTTGAGGTCCTGGGTAATGATGGTACCCAGGAAGCGGAAGGACTCCACAGAGTCAACTGGGGAGTCACACAGGATGATAGGGGTGGGTGGGGCTGGGTTCTTCCTGGAGTCCACAACCATCTCCACTGTTTTT